TGGTATGGCCGGATTTTGAGGGGGAGAGAAAAGCTAGGGAAAAAAAATGAGGCTTATCCTATGGTGGTTCCTTTTATAGGCACTTGGAAATTATTTTTTTTAACACCACATCAACTCTCTCAATCAACCAAATTTTGGTTCAATTTTCCCCAATCTTGGCCGGTTATGGAAGGAGAAAAGGAGAAGCCAAAATTGCCATTAATTCCCCTTCAACCACTACCATCCCATCACCTTAACTTGTAGCCTTCTAACACACTCAACATATAACCAAAATTTTTGGATATAACTTCCTAAGGATGGCCGGCCAAGTGAAGAGAAAAAGGAGAAAAAAAAAACTAATCATTAGTCCTATTCACCTCTCTCATCACATCTCATCAAATCACACACACTAACCTACACCTTGTACTTTTGTCCATTCCCTTAACTTACTCATTAAAACTGTCCAAACTCATACTGACAGTTATTTTCTCCTGTATACGGGTTCTGGATGCTAGGTTGTACTGTGCTGGGAGATTCTTAAAATTAAGATTCTCTAACTGTATCTATACTGGAAATTCTTCCGTTTTAAAGTACGGTGAGAATTTATCGATCGAATTTACTTGATCGGAAAAATGTGAACTTAACGTGAAATCTGCTACAGAATTTAGGAATGCAGATGTTAATTCTCTAAATCCTTCAATCACAAAATGTACATAGTATAATGATTTTCCCGGAAAATCCTTGACTTGAATACATGAATTATATTATTAAAATTATGGGATTTTTTTCTTGGTCACTACATGATCAGATATTGAAATTTAGGCAAATTACTTTCAGCAAGTCAAACAACTCTTTAAGACTCTTAATTTAGTCCTATAATTGATAGGTGATCAATTTGGTACCCAAAAAGTAGGGGCATCATTTCCTTACTACAACTAAAAATAACACAAAGCTCCTTAAGCTCCTTTAGTAGGTGTATACAACAACAACAAGCCTTAATCCTAATTTAATTGAGGTTGGTCGTATGGATTTCACTTTTCTCTTTTCCCTTAGTAGTTGTATATAATTAGTTATAATTTTAATACTTACATCATTTACGCATCAATTTAATTTTTAACGCTTTAATAACATGTGGATTGGTAAAAGCTACATAGAGGAAGGTGACAACGATTCGGAGGTGACAAGCAGTACTGGAAGAGGTAAATTTCTTATGTTTCTTTTTATCATACTATCACATGGGTTAAAAAAATTGACGCCTTAATGAAGAAATTACAAAAATTTTAACTTATTTAAAGCTCATGGAGTTTTGTGTCATTATATTATAAGGGGAAGAAGCCGGACAATCACTATTTTTCAAGGTCAATTTTGATTTGAATAATGCAACGCAAGTTAAATAGAGTAACTACCTAATTTCTTTTGTATTTTTTACTTCAATTTAATTCCAATTAAGCTCCAATTGCATGCACTTTTCACCTAATTTTAAAACACAAAGGAGGATTAATAAATAATTAGAGGAAAAATTAAACAAAATTAACTAAAATTGACTAAAATAAAATAAACTGAAACTAAACTAAAATTTTAAATAAAACAAAAAAAAAATCCTTGAAAATAAAGAAATTTTTTATGCAAATAAGAAGGAATATAACTCTATTTTATAGAGTTATCATATATCTTCGAGTTAATTTCATTTTTAGTCCCCAAAGTTAGGACAAATCCCATATTGATTTATGCTATTCAAACTTCAAAGTGTCCCATAATAAGTCAATGGTCTATAATATTGTGCCATTGAATTTGTTTCGATCTGCCAAAAGAAATCATTAAATTTGAATGAAAAATGACATGTGAGAATCATATGATATAAAAAAATTAATGGTTCTTGCAGTTCCTAAATTCCTTTAATCAAGTAGGTTTTTTGTTTGAAAATGCAAAATTGTATGAATGATATTTTAAGTAAAATTGTCCCATTTAAAAAATAAAAATAAAAAGAAAAACATCCCATTGCTACAAGAGAGTGATGCTTGACAACTAAGTTTATTTAAGGTGTTTTCATATAAGGAATGATATTCAAGATACGATTATTGCAATTTTTATATTAAAAAAATATTTCCTATTCACGGTCATATAATTTAGACCAAATAAACTGCTTGACACAACGAAAAGGAAAGAGATTAAATATAGACAAGGTTTCACAAGGTAACGCATTGGACACGGTTGACTTTTAACATGATAATATTTTTAAAAAAAAAAAAAAATCTCTCCCGTCTTTTATGCTAACAATATAAACTAATCCATTAATTTCCATTACTTCCGTCAAACACGTTTTTAACTTTAGAGTGGATTGTATTCTACACAGGATTCATTACAATCCCAACACCACGGCAAGAGCACATCATGAAGGGAAAGTCTAAAGATGATATTCACCTAACAATGTTTCATCTTGACATTAATTATTGCTCGGGAAAAAAGAGACAAATACTCTTTTAAATTGCATGTGTCTTGATTCTTACCCTTTATTTTTAATTAATACTTTTTTAATCAAATATTATATTAACGAAGAGTAAATGATTAAAATCTAATTTTATGTACTTTTAAGGGTAAGTTTAGTAAGTTGAGTAAAATCTAAACCAGTGATTGTGTTAATTTTTGTCGTACACTGAATTAGTGTAATTTATTTTGATTGTTTTCTTGTCTCACATTTTTATTGTTTTTACTTTTGGTCTTTTTCTGTTGATTTTTACCCTGTTGATGTTTGTTGCTCTTTCACTTTGTTATCTACTTTGTGCCGTCTTTAAATATTACTGTAAATTTTGATTTCATGGCTGACGAGGAATTTACTAGTGCACCATGACTGCGCTGGGGAAGAAGCACGGTAATATGTTCTTGTTGCAATTTTCTTGCTTTAGACGAAGATGGGCAAAACAAGAAAGCTGCAAAATTGATGGGTGAAACATTGTAGGTTATTATCTATGTGATTTTTATTAGACCTGTTAAACGTTGATTTTGTTTATCTTTTTTGGTAATTAAATGTTGATTAATTTGTACACTCTCCTCTACAACTTTGAGTTTAGAGTTTGAATTCTCATCCCAAGTTAAAAGGAAAAACATTATTGGCCTTATTTCATTGTCGTTTATCTTTTTAATATTAATTATTTAGATTACAATTTTCATTTATTTAGATCATGCTTTTATATATATTATTAATTATTTTTCGTATTGATATGATATATACAAATTATAAAGAGAACAAGTAATTAGAGAGCACCAAGTCTAAATATTTCTAAATATTAAATTAAGGGCCTGCTGTAAGATTTTTCTTTTTAACTACTGGTAGGAGGTGGTGTTGGTTGAGTTTTCAACAGTCGATCTGCAAGTGTCCACGTTAAAAAGATCAGACCGTTAAAAATTTAATCCAACGGTTGCTACCGATAATTAAAAATGACAAATCTTACTATAGAATATCCCTTAAATAAAATCATCTTCCGTATGCAAAGTACATAACAAAACATATTAATATATTTAGGAGTGTTTATTTTATAAAAAAAGGGAGATTGAACCCTTAATGTGATGTTTAAACTCTAAGGTTCTTAAGAAATAAAAGGACTGCAGAACTCAAGTCTCCCTTGAGTTCTTAAGGTTTGAACCCGGTTCAAACCCCACACTAGGTTTAAACCCAAAATCTTCAATTTAAGGGTCCATTGGTTTCATGCGTTTAAACTCATTGTTTTAATTCTACTACAGTGTTTTTTTTTTTTTTTTAGAAAAATTTAAATTTTAAATGTCAATTAAAAATTACTGGTTTAAACGTATAAACTAAATGGACCCTAAACCTCTTATCAAATGAACCATTAGAGTTCATATGACACGTGTTCTAGGGCGTCTTTCATGGTTTTGGCCAGCTGGACAAGAGCTGATTTATTGTTTGTTATAATACCTAATCCTGTCCTTAATCATCTCGTAACACTGTATGTAGTCAGATTTTCATGTCGTCCGTGTTCTATTTTCTTGCTTTTTGACTTTGTGTTGCAAATCATAAGTCTTAACTAGTAAATTGCGAGTTGCATACACGACAAAGTCAAGTTCATCGAAAAAAACGTCCCTAACGTGTCCAAGGTTGTCTAACCACTACGATATGGGCGGGAGAAAAAGAAATGAATAAGGAAATAAAGTTTCCCTTAAGAAACATATAGAGCTGAATTGCCGTTTGGTTGTAATCTTATTTTCGTGTAGCATACACAAAATAAATAAGTAAATGGAATGAAATGACTTGATAATACCCAAAAGGAATATGACTTTTTGACACATTTAATAAATATATCTTATTTACATTGATATTTTTTGACATAATTAATAAACGGATTGAGATAAACACGATTTATAAATACGAATTGTCACCCATAATAAAAATTTCTCTCTCTAGCAACAATTATGGTCAAGAATCTAAAATCGTGTCTATAAGTATCTCGACCCGCTTCTACTACTTTTGCTCAGTTGACATAAAAGAAATCACAGGAAAAAAAAAAAAAAAAAAAAACAATAGTATGGACTTCTTGTTGTGGTTATCTTCCTTGGTGTTGCTACTCTTAAACTTTTCCTTGTTTCATGCTCATGCGGTTGCTAACTCTTTCTTTCTTTTTTTTTTTTTTTTTTGGCTGCTCATTACTTCTTTTAATGCTTCTTCTTTTTTGCTCATGCGTGGTTGCAAATAGTCTCAAAACTGCATTTGAACATGTTTGGATGGACACTCTAAAAGTGCTTTTAGTTTTTAAACTCTTTTGCAACAAGTCATCTCCTTAGAGCATCTCCAATGCAATATTATAATTGACGTGCTAATTGTAAAAAATAGTCTCTAATACAATGCTATTTGTTGTGCTAAATTTCTCATATGCTATATTTTGTGGCAAATTTTCCATTATAGTATATGGGAAGTTTAGTATTTGATAGCTATTGGTTGAAATGTTTATTTTTTCATATAATCATTGCAACTTTTACATTTTCTAATTATTTTAAAAACAAAACTTTACTATTACAACTTTCAAAGCTTGATAATTATGAAAAAAGTAGATTTAGCATTTTAAATAGCATTATGCATTAGATCAAAAATGAAAATAACATATCATATCACACTTTTTGATGTTAAATATACAATTGACATTAGCATTTATATTAGAGATGGTCTTAGTGCTTATAAAAAAAGGAGCTTATCATTTTTTATTTATTTATATGTTTAACCTTTTATTTGTGAACAATAAATTAAATATTTCATCCGTATCCTTGTATTATATTACTTTTTTGTTATAATAAGTGTTTTTGACTTATTTATCCAAACTGGTTCAAAAGCTCTTATGACATTAAAAAAAAAAAAAAAAAAAAAAACACTTTTTTCATGCACCATTCAAATACTAATTAAAAAGTCTTGACTTATGCTTGTTTTTTCTACTGCTTAAAAGTGAAAGCACAGGCTCTCCCAAAGGGTCCTAACTCTTTCAATACTTCTTTTTCGCAGTTGTCTTGCCATGATGACGAGAGGTTGGCGTTGTTGCAGTTCAAGCAAAGCTTTGTCATTGAAAAATTAGCTTCTTCTTATGAGGGTGCTTATCCTAAGGTCTTGTCGTGGAAAGCTCAAGGAGGAAGCAGCAACTGCTGCTCTTGGGATGGCGTCGAGTGTGACGAGAAAACGGGCCATGTGATTGGCCTTATTCTCAACAGCAGTTGTCTCTATGGCTCTATCAATTCCAGTAGCAGCCTCTTCCATCTTGTCCATCTCCAAAAGTTGAATCTTGCTGATAATAACTTCAGTTACTCTCTCATTCCTTCTGCCATTGGGCAGTTTTTGGGTTTGACATATCTAAACCTCTCAGATTCATGGTTCTATGGCCAAATTCCATCAGAAATTTCACATCTTTCCAAATTGACTTTCCTCGACCTATCTTCACATTTTAATGAGATTGATCCTTCAAATCCATTGTTGGAACTTAAAAATCCCAGTTTGAGGAGCCTGGTTCAAAATTTAACAAGCTTAGAGTGGCTTCGTCTCTCATCTGTTCACATACCATCCACAGTTCACGATTTCCTAGCAAATTTCACTTCTTTGAAAGCCATTATTCTGCAAAATTGTGGATTGTATGGTGAGTTTCCTAACAACATTTTTCATCTGCCAAACCTAAAAATTCTTGCACTAGGGTGGAATAAGGACCTCACTGGTTATTTGCCCGAATTCCACCAACGGAGTCCTCTTGAGGGTTTGGTGCTTTCAGAGACTAGTTTCTCGGGATGTATACCGCCTTCAATTGAAAAGCTTGAATCATTAGAAGGGCTATATCTTCGGGGATGCAATTTTTCAAGGCCGTTACCATCTTCACTTGGTAAGCTTTCCAAACTTATTGATCTAGACTTACGCGCGAACCACTTGGGTGGTCCAATTCCATCTTGGCTGGGAAACCTTTCCCAACTTGTTCGTCTGTATCTTGACAACAACAATCTAGATGGTTATATTCCATCTTTTCAGAATCTTAGTCAACTCGGTCTTTTAAGCCTACGTGATAATCACCTAACCGGACCAATCCCATCTTCATTTGGAAACCTCACCCAACTTTTTGCCGTTTATCTTGAAGGCAATGAATTGTGTGGATAAATTCCGCAGTCATTATACAAACTCATGAATTTGCAGACACTTTATCTACATTCTAACAAACTCACGGGCACCTTGGAGTTTGACTTGTTTTTTACTATGAGAAGTCTCGTTGACCTGTACCTGACTGGGAACACATTGTCACTGTTTTTTCACCAAAGAAACATAAATGCAACAACTTCGAAATTCACAGGTCTGGGTTTGGGATCTTGCAACTTAAGTGAGTTCCCAAATTTCCTCAGGCATCAAAATAAATTGGAGTTGTTGGATCTTTCTAGGAACAAAATTCACGGTCATATTCCAAAATGGATGTGGAATACAAGTTTGGAAACTTTGACTTTCCTCCTCCTTGATCACAACTTCCTAGTAGACTTTCCCCACCCATCACCAATATTTCTTCCATGGGTCAATCTATTGGCTTTGGACCTTAGTTTTAATTTGTTGCAAGGACAGTTGCCTATTGCTCCAACATCCGTTCAATATTATTCCATCTCAAACAATTGGCTAACTGGAAAAATCTTCTCATGGATGTGCGATTTGAGCTCCGTTTGGCTACTCGATTTGTCTTCAAACAATTTGAGTGGCACGGTTCCACAATGTCTAGGAAAGCTTAGTTCCCTGTCAGTGTTGAATTTGGAAAACAACTCTTTTGGTGGTACCATTCCTCAAGTATGCGCGTTGCCAAGTAATTTGAAGATTGATCTCAGCAAGAATAAATTCAAGGGGCAATTAGCAAGGTCGATGGCCGCTTGTACGAAGCTTGAGTATTTTGATGTGGAAAAAAATCAACTTACTGATATCTTTCCTGCTTGGTTGGGAACTCTTCCTGAATTAAAAGTTTTAAGTCTGCGACATAATAGATTCTATGGTTTTATCAAGAAACCCAAACAAAAACTTTTGTTCCCCAAGTTGCGCGTTATGGATCTCTCTTACAATTATTTCACTGGTAAATTGCCTTTTCACTACGTGCTTATTTGGAGTGGAATGAAAGTTATCAACAATACAGATTCGAGATATATGAAGGAAACAAAAATTTCTCAGCCGACGAGAACTTATGCATCGCAACCTTTTGATTATCGCTATTCTACTACAATTGTCAACAAAGGTCAGGAAAGATATTATGAGGTGATTTCAGAAAACTTTGCAGAGATTGACTTCTCTTGCAACAAATTCAATGGAGAGATTCCACAACTCATTGGAAACCTCATAGCTCTTCGTTCGCTGAATTTGTCCTTTAACAATCTTACCGGTAGTATTCCATCATCCTTGGGGAATTTAAAGGAGCTTGAATCACTAGATCTTTCTAATAATAAGCTCTCAGGAGAGATCCCCCCGCAGCTAACGAGACTCACATTCATTCAAAGTTTTGATGTATCCCGCAACAATCTCAGAGGCCCCATACCACAAGCGAACCAATTTGGTAATATGGATAATACCTCGTTTGAAGGTAATCCAGGTCTTTGTGGGATTCCATTATCCAAGAAATGCGGAGATTCCAAGGCCTTGCCACTGCCACCTTCAATTGTTGAAGAAGACGATGATTCAAAATCTTCGATTGAACTGGATTGGAAATTTGTTTTGGCTGGATGCATAAGCGGGTTTGTCGTTGGAGTTGCTCTTGGCGACATGGTGATCACAAAGAGGCGACGATGGTTTCTCAAGGCTTTCAGAAGAATTCCACCGAGAATGGAGATCAGGCAACGTAGAAATTGACCTTAGCAGGTTATTTGTCCCTTGCTCTACTTAGTTTCTTTCAATTACATAGTTTCTTTTTTGTATTTTTTTTTGTGTTTTTTTTTTTTTTTTTTTGTATATGGTTATGTTTTTTTAAGTTGTTTTCCAAGCAGTACTGTAGTAGTATGCTTTCAATGTTAATATTAATATTTTTTTAAAAAACTAATATTACTACTTCTTTCACATATCACATTATAAGAACTTGTAAGATGTAAAAGCCTTGTTGTTTACTCTTCTTATGTAGTTGATTATTTATTGCAGAAGAAGGTTGTTGCTCCTTGGAGAATTGAACAAAAATGGTGGTCAACTTTCTGCAAACTTTCTTAATATGTAGACATAGCTGGTTTCCCATATCTTTAGAGAAGGTAATCAAATAGTGGATCGATCGTCTTTCAACTGAAGCAATTCAATTTGGCGTTGCAAATTGTTGGCATACTTCCGCAGATATTAACTGGATTTCATCTCTAGAGATATGGCTTTCTAATTGCCAAGTAATAGGTTTCAATGACCAGAGGGAATCTAATGTAATGAATTCCATCAGGATCATGCACTCTTTCTACGTGATGTTTGTTTGCCCATTTTCATCTTTTTAGCTCTTCTAGTCGTATCGGATCCTTTTGTAATTTCTGTTTGTTATCTTTTTAAATAATAGTGTGTGGTGGTACTTGGATTGGGATTGTGAATTGGGTGCCAACTTAGTTGGATCGTGGTTCCTTTTCTATGATGCCAGTCACTACTCATTTCATAAAAGCCTTGCTTGATTTACTTTTAAATTTATAGGCGAACCTCTATAAATTTTACGTCATTAATTCTATCGAGATTATGCACTCTTTTTTCTGGCACAAGATCCTTTTCGGGTTTTGGCTTATTCATGTTTTTAGCTCTTTGAGTTGTAGCCAATATCATTTTGTAAGTCAATAAATGTATAAATATATAGAAGCCTTGTTGTAATCACATAAAATGCCACAAAAGTAATGTCATAGACGCAGTAGCACCAATAGAAGGTGCTTAATTGTGTAGAGCCAACTTAAAATTCTCAAGAATTCATCTTAATCTCCTGTTACATGATTCATCATGAACTACCAAGATTATACATATTAATCACAACAATGTTTCATCTTCGTAGGTTTCGGTGTTCTCTAACCAAAACATGGGAGACTTAAAGAGTGTAGTGCTGGTTAATGGCGTCAATATCTAAACCCCTCAGCTTGGCAAATGATTCGACTTTACCTTTGAGAGTGTGAAGCTCCCGCAATCTGCATACTCAAAAAGAATAAGTTAGAGAAGTCGTCTAAACCCGTAGCATTTACATGATACCACATTAGAAAACGTACAAGAACAATTGAAGTAGAAAGCTTTTGCAGTTCTATCTTCCACCAACAATATATTTGGTGCCATAATAACAATCATTCCCTCATACATATGAATATATAGGACATGGCGTTCTTCACATCAAGTATAAATATTGTCATTTTGAGTAGAAATTTTGAAGACTAATTTACCTGGCAATCTCTGCACGCCTTCTAGCTTCTTCTGCCATGAGACTAATGTCCCTGAAAGTGTGGACCCTCTCAGAAATCGGCTTTGCCTCAGCGGTCTGGAGACCGTGCAGTGTTCGCTGCTCAGTTGCCCATTTCGCCTCGCGAGCTTCCTTCCCAAAGTCCTTTTTGTTCGTAAATGCAGTCTGTAACGATCGATGAAGAAGCAGTCATATATTAGCTCTATCCTTTTACCTTGAACTATATCTGAAGTACTTTGTTTTCTTGGTGAGAATTTTCTTAGAGTGGCTTTTGGGGGAAAGCCTCTGAGCAATGCATATGCACAAAACCGTATGTCTATTGATAATTTAAAGCTATTCTTATAGGAAAGAGAGGAAGCTTAGTCTTACCCTTTGATCCATCACTAAGTTCCACGCCCTACCACTGAGAGCATATCGGACTGCAAATTTGATTGGATCAAGCAACAAGTATGTCAGAGAGTTGTACAGCCAAATCACGCCTGTCCATCCCCAACCAATACTTCTAATGCCGGCGAAACTCCAACTTGCAGTGGCAGATAATATTGTTGCAATCTGCAATATTCAAACATTAAGAGAAGAAAACAATTACAAAGCTTCCTTAAACAATTAAGCTGTACTAAACAAAGTCATTTGAAAGTGTAAGCATACCAGTTGAGCAATGAGGAAGGCAGAGACAAGCAAAAGGCCAGGTCTTTCAAAGTATGACCAGCCCCGGGATCGTGTCACGAAAATTAAGGCTTGGCTGATGGTGCTGACTTGGAGATAGATAGCAGATGACATCCTCTGGTTATATGGTTTGGCTTCGGTTGGATTTGATGTGTTATAGAGGTATTTTCCAATGTTGTCCTCCACACCAAATTTATTCTACAAGAGTAAACAAAGGCATTTTTCACAAAACCCAGATGAAAGTATCTCGAATCAAGTTATATGTATGCATGGAAAATAGAGAATTTACCGGAAAGAATTTGGTTTCATAGGCTGTCCAGAAGAATATGACAGTCATAAGAGCAAGATAAGCACCAAGGATAATGCCGGTTGCGAAAATCTCTTTTAGCTTCCAACTGTCAGGGACTGGAGATGGCTTTACCCTGTCTTTTGATATGGTCATTATAGTACCTGTGGCCAACCAAACAAGTTAGGAACACAAGGTAACCCAAATTCACTTAATTTTTTTTCTAAAAAAAAAAAAGAAAAAAGTCAAGTTCCATATTTGAGTGAGCCATAAACTAGTGAAACTAACCATCATTGAGAATGGCAATAACAAGAACCATAAAAGGAGGGAAGTCGAATCTCCAGCAGACTGACAACAACATGAAACCTAGCTGTATGTAATAAAAACATCAAGTTGGCAATTGTATAAGTTTAAGATTAGGAGAGATTTTGCAATATTATAATGTGCTACAGTTTAGTATAGTATGGAATATGGGAACTTACCACAATACGTATTGTGATTGACACTGCATATATCTGGATGGGAAAGGGAAAAAGATTAAAAATATAGCCAAGTTATAAAGACATTAGTTATTTCTTGAATATCATGTGATAAGTATTGGATTACCGTGTAGTTTTTCATTCTTTGAAAAATGGCACGGCTTGTTAAGACAGCACTAATGATGACACTCAATCCGGGTTCTGTCAGGACTATATCGGAAGCACTCCGAGCGGCGTCTGTAGAATCAGCCACAGCAATTCCTATGTCGGCTTTCTTCAATGCAGGCGCATCATTCACTCCATCTCCAGTCATTCCACATATGTGTTTCCTCTCTTGCAATCTCCTCACAATCTCATATTTGTGTTCTGAATCAGCAAAGAAAGTTGTTATCCAAAGCTGATAGATACTAGCATTGAATGATTTCTAGATGTTGATGAAACTGACCAGGAAAAACGCCGGCAAAACCATCAGCTTTCTCAATGAGCTCATCGATTGGAAGAGTAGAAAATCCTCCATCCTTGTCACCTAGGAGAGCAGAAGAGGGGTACATGTTTGTCCCCATTCCGAGTCGCCTTCCTGTTTCCTTACCAATTGCAAGTTGGTCACCTGCAAGGTTACAACATTGATAAAGATTAATTATTACTAGAAAGCAAAATATTTTACGCAAAGATAAAAGAATAAAAACTTTGTTGGATATATGTTTCTAAGATGAAAGAATATCTCACACACCTGTGATCATCTTAACACTCACACCAAGATCAAGAGCTCTTCTGATTGTTTCAGCGCTGTCATGGCGAGGAGGGTCAAAGAGCGGCAAAAGTCCGACGAATTCCCAGGGACCACCAAGACTGTCTTTGGTTCCAGCAGGAACTTCCTAGAGGAGAAATTGAAGTTTCTTTCATCTCAAATTCTTACCAAAAAACATGGAAAAAATCAGACGATAAAAGAGTTGGTAGAGATAGTAAACCTGGCGCGCAACTCCAAGCGACCGTAGTCCACGTTCTGCAAACTTGTCAATGACTGCATGTACCCTCTTTTCAATTTCTGATTTGTTATGTGCCAGATTGAGAATCTACAATTGCATAAGTTCAAAAGTCTCAGTAATTGTCAAAAGTTCTAATATTGCTATTAGGACTCATTTTATTCTTAGACTCTGATTTTTGTATTCTACCTGCTCTGGTGCACCTTTGCTGACTCTGTGCATTCTACCATCAGCATCAATAAATGTAAGTGCAGTCCTTTTATCCGTTGGATTGAATGGAAGGAAGTGAACCTCTTTGATTCCGGCCCGGGCCTTACAAAGTCGAATGAATTAATACGTAAATATTAAAAAAAATCCCAAGGCAAGCATATCAATCATGAAGCTAGGAATGTTAACCTGCAAAATAATAATATCAATGACATAAGAATTTAGTAAAATTTATCTAAAAGTCGTCAATCAAGTACCTCCTTAGGGTCTGCCAACATTGAAACAATTGCGGTATCAATAGCGTCTTGATTTTCCAGCCTTGATGCTCTTGCAGCCATGAGTATAACCATATCCTTGTCAACATCTTTGGGAAATACCTGTCATTGCAAAGAAGTTGTCAGAATTTTGAGAAACAAAACATGCTAGTTCTTAAAAATAAGAGAGGTTTTTAAAACAAAAAGTTCCTTTAAGATATTTGCTTTTACTGAGGGACCAAATGGCGATTTAGTGAAACTGAGAGGGACTAAGAATACAAACCTCAATCATACTTTTGTCAACTGTAAGCTTGTTAAGTGTCAATGTGCCTGTTTTGTCACTGCATAACACATCCATTCCGGCCATTTCTTCAATGGCAGTCATTCTTTTTGTTATGGCACCCTGCACAAGCAATAATATCCATTATCCAAATAATCTTCAAATGAACATACAAATATTCGATCCTTTTATAGTCTGAAGCAGTAGCAATATCAAAACTAATGCTTTTACTAAGTAATACTGAATTTTCAATGCAGAGTTCTGAATGAAACTTTGGGCACAACGAACCTGCTGAGACAAACGGTGGGAACCAATGGCCATTGTAACCGAAAGCACAGTTGGCATAGCAATGGGTATCCCACCAATTAGTAGCACGAGTAGACTATCGAGACCATCGTGATATTCCCTACCCTGAAGACCATATATCACTATCATTTCGATGACCATCCCAATAGCAATTGAGCAAATGCAGAAGTTTCCAATTGCTGTCAGAACCTGAAACCATAAATTAAATTAAAAAAAATCATTAGCTTTTGAACACCATTTTTGACAAAGCAAATATAGAACATCAGAAAAAAGTCATGCATAGAGTGAAATCACTCTTATCTGCTTCGTACTATAGGTGTATAAAAAATGAACCTTTTGGAAATGACCAACATGTGTTGTGTTTTCCACAAGGTGAGCTGCCTTTCCAAAGAACGTGTGAACCCCGGTCGCAATTACCACTGCTTCAATTTCACCTTGCTTGCAGGTTGAACCTGAGTACACCCCATCACCTGGATTTTTGGTTACTGGTAGTGATTCTCCAGTAAGAGCAGACTGCAAGTAAGTAGCAACAAAGAAAAAGTCAAATTAAAGATCTGATATACATTTCAACTCTGAATTAAAAAAATAAAAAAAATAAAAAAATAAAAAAAAAGAACCTGTTTCTTTTGTTTAGTATCCAAATTCATGAACAGAGATTTTAAAAGAAAACTTGTACAAATCTATTTAAAACTATGAGCTAATACAAGCTTATCATCTTTGCATTTGAAATTACCTGATCAATCTTCAAAGGATCTCCTTCAAGAAGACGCGCATCCGCAGGAATGATGTCACCGAGTTTAATACTAATTATGTCTCCAGGAACCAACACTGAAGCATCCTCCTCGCTCCACCTTCCATCGCGCAGAACCTAGTTATCACAAATAGGAACAAATAAAAAGAAAATCCAAACCAATAGGAACAATGAGAAACTAAAATAAATAATAAAAAACTAACAAATGGAGATTCTGAAGCTATAAAGAAGATGGCCCACCTTGGCTTTTGGGGCTAACCGAGCCATTAGAGCAGCGGCTGCATTGCCAGCATTGTTTTCCTCTATGAAACTGATGGTTGAGTTTATAATAAGTAAGGCTGTGATCCCAGCAAAATCTGGATAGTCTACTTTATTACCCTGCACAAAGGTCACGTCAACATGGAGCTTCCTCAATTCTGAAACAAATGTCCTAAGTAAAGTCAAACAAAGTCGAAGGCCTTGACGGTTCTTTCAAATCCAACAAATGACAAACAAAATTAAGATTGTAGTCCCTAATATGTAGATGTATAACATTATAGCTTAGGGTGGTAACAAACCAAAATGTTGCATACCAATCTATATTTTCTCGTTTTTCCCTTAATCCGCTTTTGGCTGTCAGATTAACTTTTATTTCATTCAAGCGGCTAGATATGAGTCCCTCTACAAACTTAATATCATGTGTGTGTGTGTATGTAAATATAGACATATACATCCATATATACACATATATATTACAAACATACCCCTATTGGAGTAAGAGCAATTGCCATAAAAGCTGCAGCTTCCATGACCCAGGACAGAGGATTCCACATAAAACCCAAGAATTTCAGTATTTTGCTTTCCTACATAATTAATAGCAGATAAAAGATATCAAGCAATCACTCAATGAAGTAGATGACAATTATGATTAGCATATTCAGGAGACAACCTAAAAAAAAATGTTGAAATTCTTTTATCTAACCTTCTTTTCTTCAAGTTTATTATATCCAAACATGTCCAACCTCTTCTGAACATCATCAGAATTCAAACCGTCTTTTGTACATTTAAGATGCTCCAAGACCTCTTCTATAGGGATATTCTCCTGCATAAACCAACTCCAAGTTTTATTAAAATTGTTCATTTTCCCACTGAGATATATATGCTTTTATTCCAGCCATTTTGTTCCAACAAACAAATATTTGCAAATCGCAAGTTGACAAATCTCCAAGGATCAGAGTGACCAAACATTGTATGTTCAAAACTAATTGGAGGAACATTCAAATATTATGTCTTGATAACAAAAAGCCTTATAATCTGGCAAAACAGGCCATGACATGAATCATTAAAACATACCAGATCAACAGCCTCTTTGGCAATAGCATCGAGCCCGACCGACCCGACAACCATTTTCGATTTCTCGTTTACCCCCACCAACTGTCAAATTAGTACACAACTTCAGTATCAAACACCAAAATCAAATCAATTTCTTTTTTGGCAGTAACATGTATCATTCGATTTCTAATAACAAAGAAGATAAAAAAAAAAAAAAAAAGGAAACTATATATACTACTTTTGTATCATGATAAGCAAAATTCCTACCTGTTCAAAAAACTTTGTATTACTCTCTATTTTCTAGAGTGTAGCAAAGGATGGTACACAAAGTTTGGACATAAATAGAGGTTTAAAGGAATCATGTCAACATCAGTTTGAATTGGCCAATGTAATAATAAGTGCAATTGCCAATTATAAAATATTGAGAAAATAATTAAGAGATCCCAATGCAAAGAGAAAGTACGGAATGAGCTGGCAAAAGAACATTGGGAATTAGACAATAAACATCGGAGATATATATATATATATATATATATATATATATAATGTTGTTATATATGTGTACGCCTGCATCGTTGATCAGCTGTTGCTGGAGTAACCAATGCTTGCAACTTGTGTAATATTTTTTTTTCTCTTTATTATTTATTTGTTTGGACCTAACTTCTCCTAGGTCCGTACGCCGTAAAGTTATATTGATAAGTAGGTATTGGATAAATATAAACATATACTGATGTACACTTTCATACAAATAAATAAATAAAAAAGTTTGGTTAAATATGGAATACCGGTGATTTGAGGAAGTGGACCCTTTTGAAGTCGTTTTTTTCGGGTTTTAAAAAAGGATTGTTCTTAATAAATTAATTGATTTACTGTATAGTAAATAACGAATTTACAGCTATTTGTTTAAATTAAGAAAAAGCCAGCTATTTATCTTTTAGTAGTGCTAGGGATCCAGATTTTTGTCCCCTTTTTCTGTACCAATTCATGCTATTTTTTCTACTCATACATGTAATCATTTAATATTAATCTTTTCTACTCATAAATATCGATACCTCAAAATTTCTGAAATTTTGACCAAAATTTCAGAAATTTCGGTGCAATTTTCATCCTTGCTCCAGAGTTAAAATTGAATGACAAAAAATTCATGGCAAAAAAATAGACTATTGTGATGGGAACTCTATGGTAACATGGGGTTCGGAAGCGATGGAGACCGCCGCTGGAGTTGTGATCTTCTTGGTTTAGCAATTCGAGGAAGATGAACGGATGGATCACTGTTAATTCTAATTGAATTGCTATGTTTCACCGGTTTAAAAACACCTTACCACAATGTGTTTAGTCATCTGGAATTTGTTATTTTCAATTTAAAATTTAGTAAACTTGTTATTGGTATTTATTTCTTACGTTATTACAAACGAATTGGACAGCAAGAAATCAACATTTGAAAAGCCTTTTTTTCCCCCTTCTATTTTGAATAAATACTGACCGGCTGGTTCTCCAAACCATAAAACAAAATCCCATCCCGTGAAAGGAATGTTTTTCTTTCCAACAAAGTAAAAAGTCCATAGAAATGAATCAATTGTCCTAATACAAATGGAAGTAATAACTGAACTAAATTCGTAGTGTACATAAAATGTCCCTCTCTTACCCTACGTAATTTCTTGATGTTCTTTTTTAAGTTATAAACGTCATTTGAGTGGTTACTCGTACTCCAATATTTACTTGGAAAATAGTAGAAAATAGGCCAATATGAAAAACTTAAGAAAGTATATAGGCTAATTTTTAGTTATAGAAATTAATAAGCCATAACTTGTCAAGTTATGGTTCATAACCAGATAAGTTATGGACAAACTTATCAAGTTATGGTTCATAGCCAGACAAGTTATAGACAATTTATGGACAATAACTTGTCAAGTTATGGTTCATAACTAGACAAGTTATAGACGAAAACAGTAATTTGGCCTATTTATTAACTTATATAAACTATTGACCTATTAATTTTAATTCATCTCAAGTCTTGGCCTATTTTCCTCTTTCTCCCTATTTACTTATCGGTGGGTATTATTTTTTTAACAGTATGATATAAATAAGACGGTTGTGTTTAATTGGGTAATTAACTAAAAAAAATTTATGACAACTAGATGAAATCCTTATAACGTCACATTATCATATTTTAAAAATTCATTCGTATATTATATATTCATATATATATATATATTAATATAAATTATATGTATGTATTGACGCTCAGAAAATCTGTCTCTTCAGATACACAAAAAAGAAAAAGATTTGTTGTAATTGAGTATTAAATTCAAAGTTTTGGATTCTCCCATGTGATATTAACTAAACTAGATACCGATTCTTCCTAGGCTCAAGAGTGCAATTATTCTCTTTTGGGCATTTCATTTTTGTTTGATTCTTCATTATGACCTTTCTTACTATATGCGGCAGCACCACATTATGCTATTGAAAGGATCATGGCTGGCAGATTCTTGTTTTGTACTTTGTTTGTACTTCTCATAAAAAATAAAAATGTTTTTATTTTTGTTTGCTTGGCTTTATTAAAAAAACCATATTCCACACGTTGACAATCTAATCCTATCATACTTTGTCATTTTTCAATTTTATGTTCTAATAGTAGCCGGAGAAAGCCTGGCCCTATGTTTTTATTTTAGTTAGGAAGTGGTCAAATAAGGTTGACACCAATCAAGACAAATTCAAATGAACCAACAATTACATTTTTTGGTTTTGTGCCAATTGGTGGCTTAGATGATTGGTTGCACCCTTTCGAGACTTGGTACAAATTCATTTTAGATAGGAATCTAGTTGAGAATCTGGGGCCATATACAAAAATATGATGTTCTCTTGAATAGAAATAATTCAAAATATAATCATGGTATTTCACAATTCTACATCGTCAAATTTTCATCAAAATTTCGTTAAATTAGCAGTACTTTCTGTTTTGTTTTGATTGTAGCAATAGAATTACTTGGCAATATATGAGTACTTCAAATTACTTGTTTATATATGAGTACTGAATTTCGTGGCAATATAAATTACTTGTTTTCAAATATATCACTATGAGTATATATTTCTTTAGCTGAATAAAGAAACGACATAACATAAATGAGTATCTTGTTTTGTGTTATAAAGTACTTACACCACTGATTCGTTGCATTACAATTTGGTAACTCATCAATATAAGGCTTACGTAGCCGCCAAGTGTGGTAGCCTTGCTGTTAAAAAAAAAAAAATGCGGTTGGGTTTGTGTTCGAAGGTTCGAGTACTAGATGGCTCTTTTGGCCGGGGATTTAAATGTTTAGTCTTATTTTCCGCCGTCGATCTGCTTTTATCAGAGTCAGATTTTCTCTTTTCAATATTCTAGTTGGCTTTTTATGATTTCTTTTTTCTTTTTATATAAAGCTAACTTCTTCAGAGTGCATATCTAAGTGCTTCTCTACTGTTTCTTCAACATTAGTCTGAAAACCTTTTTAATTTCTATTGGCCACGAAAATGAGGTCAAACTAGTACTTCTCAACTTTGTTGATGTTATTGGAAAGACTGTTGTTTATTATAATTTCTTGAAGACTACTATTTAATGAGCATCTTGTTCAACATTTGACCGACAAAACCGAACAAGTTTGAGCTTTGAAAGATACTCTTAAGCAAACTGTTTTTGAACTTTCTCCGCCCACATTTCATGAAGAGATCTAACACTAAACTTATTTACTAGTCAATTATATCAAACCTGTTTAGTTTAATCTGCATTAATTGCCATTGTGCTTGTATATCTACCGTCTAATTGTGACGTATAATAGTAGGGGCAGAGAACACGAGCACAATTAGAGAAACGACAGAGACAGAAATAAACGATTCCATAAAAAAACGACAACAAACTGAAAAAACGACATACATTATAAAACGGCAATCCTAAAAAGATACCGGTACTCTTTTGAAAACTATGATTTTGGTACCCCCTGAACTTATTTTTCGAACTACGAAATGTCCATTTTCCCCTTTAATTAATTATCCTCAAATTAGTTACATAAAATCATTAAAGGAAAAAAAAAAAGGAATAGATTTCCGAAAAGACTCCAGAAAATTGGGAAGTTGAACACACACGATGTGGTTGTTTTTTCTAATTTTCTGTAACACCCTCCTACTTAATAAAGTATTTAACTCAATCACCTTCTATTAGGCTAGAGGGTGTTAATTTTCTAATAGTTACATATAGCTTCTAAAACGTCTTTAGACAGCATATGAACAAGTCACAGGACGATTGCAGCTTTGCCAACCTTTGGAACAACATTCAGCATTTAAATCCTGCATCACAAGAACTAAATGATGTTAAAACTCAATAAGTAGAAATTAATACCTTTATAGAAAAAATTAATATAGTTCACTTCAGTTTTTAATCATAAATCATTTGACATAGAAAACCTTGAAATCACATTGTACTACACTCGATAACCAAATAGGCCTTGAATTTCTTGAAACCTTTCTTAGTTTGGCCAAGCTAACCTTTTCAATGCCTCACTAGGGTGCTTTTCAAAGTACAACCCTTTTCCGTCTAGTCGCCGCTATGAGACCCTTTTCTAAGTGTCGTCTCATATAGAAGCCCTTTTCAATTTCATTGTATCATCTCAAAGAGGTTCCTTTCAACCTTTTCAGTTTGGGTTTGGCCGTTTCACCTGTGTCCCTTCCTATTCAAGTATCAAGCCACGCAGCACAGAAATTTCAATAAAAAAATCTTAACAAGAAAATCATTTCCATGCATGTTACAAATAAATCATATCATATGCAACATATTTTAACAGTAGTATTTCTCTAGCAGATATGCTATAAGAAAACATTTCTTAACAATACTATTGTTCTTGTGATGGTTTTCAAAAGAATTTCTACTTACCTCCAATTTCTAAAATGTTTGAGCGAACAGCGATTATCCTCTTGGGATACCAAAGTGATATTCTTAAAATCAATAAGTTTACTCTTTAATATACACGACAAGCATATTGAAATTACACTAATTATCTCACTTATGGAAATCCTCACAACACTTTTACATTAATTAACAAGAA